ACAGCAGTTTGGCCAAACAGCAGAATGAAACTATCAACTTAAACCCAGGAAGGGTGGTGAAGGTGAATGGCTGGAGTGACCACACTAGATCAAAATGTATCTAGATCTGTGTACAAAAAAGCATCAAATGCGGGTACAGTTTTAATGGAGGAGTCCCGAAAACTATTGTGTTCTTTTAAGTTGATATTTTAAAACGCATCAAGTACTTATAACAAGCCCTAGGTGCCAATGACATCATCAGTTACCTGAGCGAGAGGCTTGTTCACAAACTCCTTCTCGTGGTCAAAGAAAGTGTCCAGGCCGTGCTGCTTCACGATGATCTCTGACTCGTCGGAGAAGAGGACGGCGTCGCCATCAAACGCCACTCTCAGCTGAGTCTTACTCAGCTCATTATCCGTGTCCACCGCAAACATAGTGGCTGCAGCGATGCCTGAAAGAGGAGAGGGACGTTAAAAACAAGCTTTGTGACTTTGAGACTATATTTGAATTTGATACCTCACAGCTGCAAATTCCTGTTTTATATACAATGTTTTCGCTGCTAATGCACATTTGCTCTGATTTCTGATACTTCTGTCTTTCAATAAAGAGATTTCTCATAGCTACCAAGTTGTTCGAGGTAAACTGTGAAAGATTTCTTGTTTATTGCTAAAAAGACAAAGACAGTTTTGTTTGAGAATCAGTTATGGTCGTAACACTGAACTTTACACATTAGTGATGCTCTATATATAATGTAACATAGAATCTTGTGATATAGGTGTGCCATCCAAATGTTTGTCATAAACAAATATCCAATCTTAATTTCTTAGGCATGTCTTCTTCAGATATCTTGTTTTGCTCGACCAACAGACAGAAACCCGAACAAATTCAATTTACAGGGATACAAAAGAGATAAAGAATCAAATCCTCCAAGTTTAACTTGATAAGCGACTTAAAATCAATTATGTTCTGACAGCTAAATATTTAATTTCAGCACTACACATGAAAGTCAGTGATTCATGTTGGTTTGTTTTGTGTGTATTGGGATATTACAGGGAGCCATAAATCACACGCTTTCATTCTCCTTCTTGCTGCTCAGTGTGGGGTCGAAGTATCCCTCAACATCATTAATGAGTCACTCAGAAACACGGAAATGTGTGAATGTACTATACATCTCGAGGCTGCTGAAAGTAACTTATACATAAAAAGAGAAATCAGGGTTATAATGTCAACGCGGCATCATCTTACCTTCTTCTATGGCCTCCATCACTTTGTCGGAGTTCTTGGAGAGGTAAAGGTTGGTCATGTAGGCCTTCAGGTAGCCTATAGGGCTTTCTCCTCCGGTCATACAAAATCTCTCTATGGTCAAATCTGAAAAGCAGGTTAGAGATTGTCAAAGGTCTTCTATTATACTCTTTTTCACCAATACATTATAGGTCTCGGATATATACAAACATGTCTCTGAAGTGTTTGGCTCGAAATATCAAACAGATCGTGCATTATAGCATCCCATAATCCCCTCTGTTTCAGCCCTGTTTCAAAAGTGCTGATTCTCTGGCCGTTTCTCAATCGCGAGGATTTTGGCTTCCAAGGCAATATTTCAAGGATGCTACGTCATCGAGTGCCGCCGAAGTACTGTTCCAATCTCCAGCATACTTGGAATTCCACCGAGGCCGCGTCCTTGGTTTGGGGGAAATTTCGAGGCTGCACATGGGTAGACTTCGTGTCCTTAAAATCCCCACAATGCTTTGCACACGGACCAATTTCAAAAACCCTTGCGGAAAATGGCTGAACCGACGCACCACACATTTAAATGTAAGTATGTTGTCGCGTAGAACATGTGTTGGTAAATGTTACTTTGTTGCATTAGTTTGTCATCACCAAAAATGTGTTCCGTGAAAGTAAAGCAAGTTCATAATTAGATAGACATCGTGAGGTATTTATTTTTGGTACAGTTTATGTTGAAACCGTTAGAGAGAGTGGCACACTTGTTAGCCTGTTCCATTCTTCTTCGTTTTCCGAAGCCGTGGCTTGGAAGCATACTTGCTTCGTTTCTGAAGGAAGTGACTTGGAAGTACGCGACTACCAAGCCAGCATCCTCGCGATTGAGAAACGGCCACTGTCTGGTGCTTTAGATGAAAATAAGGAGCCCCTCCCCACGCCCCTCTGAGAGATATTTGGTTAAAAAGAACACAATGGTGCTCTAGGAGGAGACTCAGGTGATAAGGTGGGGGGGGGGGGGTTACCTTGGTTGGTGATTGGCTAATGGTTACACAAGCCAAAAAATCGTTATGACATCATAAAGCGGCCACAATCTGATCAGCTCATTTTCAGACAGGTTTTTATAGAAATGGATCAGGACAAAAAGAGAGAGAATCTTTGTTCCTGAAACTTTCAGAATCTCTTTACACAGAGGGGACACGTGTTTATGTATAAAAGACATGAACAAGTGGATTTTGCATAGTAGGTGACCTTTAAGTAAAGAAGGCTGATTCGACTTACACTAGAACACCTTGTGTGTCATTACCAGACTCTAATACTGTTGTTGATCACTCCTGTTGCTGCAGCAGGAGAGACGCCGCTGTATTAAACAAAGTGTGGTTATGGACGCAGCGTACCGTAGTGATTAATGCTGTTTATGAGGCGCACTCCGACTTGGGCATGGTTGTTAGTCATTAAGACGATATCAAACAGCTCCTCGCTGTCTGGGTAGAGCTGCCTCAGTCGAGAGTTGACATTCATCAGCGCCTGTGAGAGAGAGGAGGATGTGGTGTCAGAGGGTTTAAAATGACGTTACAAAAAAAGCATTACAACATTGTGACACAGCTTTCCTACTGTTAGGACTTTAAAAGAGCATATTAAGGTATTAAAACAACACCAAAACAAAGGACTGTGCTTAATGAACCAGTAACACCTTAATTAGGGTGTGAACATGGACTTCACAGCCAGACTAATAAACTGCTAAGCTGATAAATAGCATATTATTAGCTCATCACAGCAATATTATTTGTGTATATATTTGCAATATTAGAAAACATAAATGTAATGTTATTAACTGTCGTGCCATGACCACAGAGAGAAGTTTATTCATTTCCTATGTTGATAGTCCCATCAGGACGTTTCCTGCATGGTTGTAATGCTCAAAATACTTTTTGACAAAAGACAATAAATATTAGTGCTGCAACTAACATTTAGTTTATCTATGTGAAATACTGTCTTCAACACAATATTGTTAGATAATAAACATTTTTAACCCTACATTTTACCTTGCACTAGTATTTTATGTCTCAATTGTTATTAACTTAACACATTAACATATGTAATGAGCATTGATGGAGAGTTGTATTGCCAACGACTACCTTTCTGCAATGTTTGGGTACATACACTTGACGAATGTGGAAGTTAGAAGAAAAAAATGGTAATTGACAATTTCCTGATTGTACCAGATATGAAGGTGCCATACAGATACATTCCTTGACAAGACTTACTGAGGTGTGTGACCTGTCTTGGGTATAATATGGAGCTAATTTCCTGCCATAACTCCACAAACAAACTAAACAGGTTTTATAAATGCCTCATGATTCACTAACAAACACAATGTGGTTGGCAAATACAAAACACCATCTACAAACGAATGCATTTAGTTTTGTAAAGAAAAAACGTATCTATCAATATAAACATGGCTTTAAGAATCTCGCACAAAAATCTACACTCAAAACGCTGACTCATACTGTTCATTATCAGTGACCCCTGTCGATTTTCACTAAGCAAGTTTTTCCTTGTGTGGCTTTTGTCGACTCAACAACGCATATTTTTGGTGAATCCACCAGTTTGAGGCACCACGCCCTGCAGAGAGCCGGGGATCAGGCCTACCTGGACGAAGGGGAAAGCAACTCCAGGCATCAGAGGCTCGCTTTCATGCTCCATCTGATAAGCCACATACTTCTCCAATCCTTCATCCTCATAGACCTTCCTCTCCTTCACCATGTTGAAGAGGGTGCGAGAGGACACGGCAATGGTGACAGCATACCGGGGTTTGGGCTGTATGTTTGGATGAATAAAACATGTAGTGGCAGTTGTGTTTGCTTATTAAGTCACATTTTGTATGCAAGAAAGTGTCTGAACCTTACACACAAATGTATGATCATAAAACTGTATAGCAAAAGTACTTACAGGTCTTGGTATCTTTGTTTTGAGGTTGTCAAAATGAGCTTTGGCAGCAGCCCAGTCTTTCTCCTCTCCGTTGTCTTCAGTTGGAGCTGATTCGGTTAGTTTGATTTCACTCATTTTGATAATGTTTTAAACGTCTTAAAAGCTAAAGAAACTCAGAATGGTTGTGAGGAAGCAAGCCACAGTCTGTAAACTTTGCGGATATGTATCAAAACGAGGATGGGCGTGTCTCCAAGCTGTGACGTAGGCAGAGCTGAGCATCACTCGCACCTGATTGGCTGAACGCCTCCCCATGTCCACATAACTGTGTGTACATTTTTTTTGTTTAAATGTAAGGTAACTAAACTATTGTGCTTTCAGCTTATTCAAAAACAGACAAGAGATACAAGGTTTAAATCACGTCAGTATTTTGGTTAATGAGAAAATACATAATGGACAATTATGTTCTCTACCTGGAGATTGGCACATGAACAACTTAAAAATGCCTAGGTCTGTCATGTAAACTATTCACACATTTGTTATTCGAGTTATTTAATTATGACTTGTTTTAGACATTTTGCATCACTAGCCTAACATATTCCCAAACAGCTATTTTACTTGAACTGTAAATGTCTGTATGCATATGTTTGTTTCCTCTGTTTTACCCATAGACAGTATATAGCCTATAAAGGTTTTACCTTTACCTGCCCAAAATCAAATTACCGATTACTAAAGTTTTGTTGAATCTTATCCTATTTTACAGTTGTACATGTATATTTTGTGTTTAAATGAATGAATATGACATGTTGCACAGGTCTGTTATTGAAATAGCAATTGCTTATACAATCGCTCTCTGTCACACACACACAGACACACACCGTCCACCGGCACATAAATGACCTCCCTCCTCCAGCACCCCCCACCCCCACAGTTGGTAGCGTCCGGGACGGAGCATCATGGCGATTGACGGTAAGAACTCGGTCTCAGGTGTCCTGCGGGACTCGTGTAAAACTTTGCTCGGGGCAGAATAAACACGCTGTTAGAAAAAAAAATCACATGGTAGGTTAGGAAGGCTGTCATTTTGTTATCGGCTTTGTTTTTAAAATCCCTCCGTGAGTTCCGCAGTGCTCCGGAGCCGTGGCTGGGACAGCTAGCAGCATCACCCGCGCTGCTGCAGGAATGTTATGATCCTTCATGGGATGCATGCTCTACGAGTGAAAGTGGACGCATATAGTCCCTCTGCTTTGTGTCATGTATGCGCAAAGTATTCGATTAAGACACTCGTGAAATATGAAATCATTTAAATATTTATGTTTGTCTTCAACCGAAAATCACAGCAGGCTGCTTAGCATCACCTGACAACAACTTTGTTTTGTAACCGTTAACGATCTACATCACCTGGCGGATTAATATGGAACGTTAAAAAAATAACGTTTGAGTTCGAAAACCTGCTGATAGATAACCGTTAATATTGTGGGTGCATCATTGTCTGTATACATCAATGGGATGTTGATATTACTACAATTCACGAGTAACGTGTACAACATGATGTGTAGCCTACACAATGACGACAGGTCAGATGTCTCCTGCAGGTTTTATGTAAAATGATGGGAACACATGACACTGAGCAGTGACAAAAACGATGCAGTCATTGAAGAGTACAGGCGCGTGCCTTGGTCCTGTCCCGTAATGTGGGCACTATTGTGTCACGTGCAGCCATGCGTGCAGCAGCAGTGTTTGTTGATACACCAGCAGAGAGAGATCGAGGGGTTCGGCTTCTTCATGAAGACATATCAATGGTGACTCACCAGTGGCACAGGGAATATAGGCTATCTCTGCAATTCATATATTGTAATCAATCTTATATTATGCATACAGCAGTGGTTCATTCTTACAAATCGCAATACATGCAGCCTAGACTCTAGACTCTATCTATTAGGGATGTGCATCTCCATCACTGAGGCCGATGCGATGCGCATCTCGATACGTTGCCACGATACGATACATTAACGATACATTTGAAACACCAGGCGATGCGATACGATACGATTCACCCCTGTTGCGATACAGTTCGATACGATTTGATTCAACATTATGCGATTCGGTGCGATACGATGCGATTCAACACGATGCAAAATAATGATACTTCAATTTGGTACGACAGAGGATTTTTGTTTTATTCCTTATATGCAGCAAATCATACATTAACTAAAAAGTGCTTTACATATTTGGTACTGCACATCCCATCATGCCGTTTATTTTTTTACCTTTAAAAGCTCTCCAGAGTACAATTGTATAACACCTCACAGTTAAACAATGTAAGGATGCATTGCTCATGATTAACAATGTGCAATAACAGCTACCATAGAGCAATGCCCATACAGCTGCCAGCCTGATGTGCTTAACACTCATTCATAGGCTAACTCGCCAGTGAGCAGAAAGCGTGGGTTCTATATGAACAATAAATAATACAAATAACCTTTCACAAAAACAGGTATTTCATAACTGCTTACAGTGAGGAATACATTTAAATTATTATTGGCCGTCACAGGCTGCTGTAAACTAAACACCACTCTCTCTGACAGAACACCTCACTGAGTGATTTAACTCATATGTCTAACTTTGAGGTTTCTCTTTCAAGCCGCAGACCCCATGTCGACTCTTTATGTGCGTCGCTAAGTTCCTCGTACTACTTGTGTACTTTAAAATCGGCTCGGCATCGTTAACAATTTGCGAGCGATTTTTCAAGTTGACCGTCTGTGCCGCGCACATATACCATCAGGGACGTTACTGATGGGGTTTCGGCTGCGGAGTGATACTGTGGTGTATGCAAGCCCGCATCTAGGACGGATCTATGTATCATGGCTGTAGACCTGTTAAGTAATAAAGATACCTCATACAAAGGTCTACGGATACCTTATTACTCTCCATGACCTGGCGGTCAACTATATAGCCTAGCATAAAGGACTATTACAAAATAACAAACCGTCTTTCTTGAACAATCCGAAGTGTTGCCAAACGTTGATTTGTAGGTATTTTTCGGCGCGCTGTGTTTCTCTTTCTCCTCGACTTCCGTGTGTGTTGATAACTGAGACTCTCGGCTTCCGTAGTGGCGAAGATATCAAAGATCGTATCTGCTGAGCGTTGACAAGATTAGGGGATTTTAT